TATATATATATCAGTTGGCCAATTAATTTCTTTCTATTTATAGTAGAGACGGGGTCTCGCTCTTGCTCAGGCTGGTTTTGAACTCCTGACCTTGAGCAATCCGCCCGCCTCGGCCTCCCAAGAGCTAGGATTACAGGCGTGAGCCACAGCGCCCGGCCGATTTGAATCTTTTAATACATTTTTATGGCTTGGAGATCTTGATATTTCACACTTGTTTTATTCCAAGGGTTGGCAAACTATGGCTCACAGGCCAATGGGCCAAATGTGGCCCACTGCCTTTTTTATTTTTAATTGATATACCATTTTAAAGTGGACACTTTAGTGGTTTTTAGTACATTCACAAAGTCGTGCAACCATCACCAGCATCTAATTCCAGGACAGCTTCATCACAACCCCCAAAACCCCGGTAGCTATTAGTCACCACTCCCCTATGACCCTCCCCAAGCCTGGTATTCTACTTTCTATGTCTATAGATTTGCCTAATGTACATTTCATATAAATGGAATCATAGAATATATGACCTTTTGTGTCTAGCTTCTTTCACTTTGCGTGTTTTCAAAGTTCATCCACATCATTGTATATATCAGTACTTTATCTACTGTACACTTTAAAATGGTGTAAGGGCCAGGCATGGTGGCTCATGTCTATAATCCCAGTCCTTTGGGAGGCTGAGGTGGGAAGGTCACTTGAGGCCAGGAGTTCAAGATGATTCTGGGCAACATAGCAAGAAATTCATCTCTACAAAAAATAAAAAAGAATAAAATGGTATGTGGTATATAAATTGTTTATCAGTTAAGAAAAAATATAAGGCCAGGTGTGGTAGCTCACGCCTGTGATCCTAGCACTCTGGGAGGCCAAGGCGGGAGGCTTGTTTGAGGTCAGGAATTCAAAACCAGCCTGAGCAACAGGGAGACCCCGTCTCTACTATAAAATAGAAAGAAATTAATTGGCCAACTAATATACATAGAAAAAATTAGCCGGGCATGGTGGCACATGCCTGTAGTCCCAGCTACTCGGGAGGCTGAGGCAGTAGGATCGCTTGAGTCCAGGAGTTTGAGGTTGCTGTGAGCTAGGCGATGCCACGACACTCATTCTAGCCTGGGCAACAAAGTGAGATTCTGTCTCAAAAAAAAAAAGAAAAAGAAAAAAAGCACACAATTCATTTTATGTACTTTATTTCTTTTCTTTCTTTCTTTTTTTTTTTTTTTGAGACAGAGTCTTGCTGTGTTGCCCAGGCTAGAGTGAGTGTCGTGGCATCAGCCTAGCTCACAGCAACCTCAAACTCCTGGGCTCAAGCGATCCTACTGCCTCAGCCTCCAGAGTAGCTGGGACTACAGGCATGCGCCACCATGCCCGGCTGATTTTTTTTCTATATATATTAGTTGGCCAATTAATTTCTTTCTATTTTTAGTAGAGACGGGGGTCTCGCTCTTGCTCAGGCTGGTTTCGAACTCCTGACCTTGAACTATCCACCCGCCTCGGCCTCCCAGAGTGCTAGGATTACAGGCGTGAGCCACCGCATTTGGCCCTGTTCATGTTCTTATTGGCCATCTGTATATCTTCTTTGGAGAAACGTGGATTCAAATCCTTTGCCTGTTTTAAAATTGGGTTGCTCTCCTTATTGTTGAATTGTAGGAATATTTACATATTCTGGATACAAGTCCCTTGTCAGACATATAATTTTAAGGTATTTTCTCCCATTCTGTGGGATGTCTTCTCACTTTGATAATCTATACAATGCACAAAATCTGCCTGTTTTTGTAAATGGAAGTTCTATTGGAAGAGTCATGCTCATTTGACAGTTATATATTGTCTATGGCTGCTTTTGTGCTGCAATGGCAGAGATCAGTAGTAGAGACAGTATGGCCAGCAAAGCTTAAAAGTCTACAGGCCCTTGTCTTCTGCCATATACAGAGATGAGTAGAAGAAATCATATGCAGAGTACATGTCTAAATCTAGAGATCTTTAGGAAGAGCTCTCTAGTTTGAGCACTGAAGTTTTTCATTATAATTAAAAAAAACACCCAAAAAACTAAAGTCCTTCCCAGCACCATAGGGTTTAAAAAACAACACTAAAGTCCAGACCATTTTTCATATACAATAAAACCAGCATTAATCAACTGTAATAGTATTATATATCTTAAAATCTTATGAGCAAATTACTTAACTTCCAGATAACTTAGGTTAGTGAGCATCCGCATGAGGCTAGATGGCAGAAGGAGGGAAAAAATTTCTTTATTTTCTCTCCCATAGCAGAGTACACGGAAGGTACAGAACAATATCTTTCACATGTGGCGATACTACAACTTTGCCCGGATGAGGAAAATGGCTGATTTTTTTCTTCTCCAATCAAACTATAAGGACGAGCGTAGTCAGTGAGCGCCAACCGGGCCCGGCGGGCCACTTTTTCCTTGTTTACAGCTGTGAGGTGCGATAGACAGCTGGTAAATATGCCATTTAGTTCCCGTTGGATTGGACGGATCTCTTGGGTTGTTTCACACCTCTGGGGGCTATCGCCATTAAGCTACTATGAAAACAATTTGTGTACAACTTTGTGTAAACATGTTCAGTTCGTGTATGAAACCTGGAAAAGTGCTGCGGGGAGGAACGACTGGGGAGGGCTGTAACTGTTGGGAGAACCCAACCCATGTTCTCCAGTGGGCGTGGAGAGGACCATCTTTAAAACTGCCCAGTAAGCACGGCCATGATAGTATTCTGGAAGTGCTGCACAGCTGGCCTGCAACATCAAGAACCACTTGGCGGGATCCCGTTGATCTTAGTATGTAAAGGTAAGTTTCTATGGGGTTCTGTGAACAGAGTATCTGTCTTGGTTTTGAAGTTGCAAGGTCCCTGGGGATGAATGATGTTGAGGAAATCTGTTCGAGGGTTTCGTATTTATGTGTACTTTCATTTGGGAAACAGGAGTCTTGCTTATCGCCAAGCTAGATGCAGTGCCATTGATCAGCTAGGCTCACAGGCAGATTTCTCAACAAGTCCCTCTTCGGGGTCTACAGTCTTCGTGGCCTCAGGCGTGCGATAATAGGGGGCTGGGATACAGCATGGTGCCACCATGCCGTGCCTTATTTTTTCGTTATGATTGTTGGTCAGAATTTTAAGGTTCTATTTAAGTAGCAGAGACGGGTTCTCGCTCTGTTCGGCTGGTTTCGAACTCCTGAGACCTCGAGCAAGCATGCCACCCGCCGGCCTCCGAGCTGGCTAGGATTACACAGGCGTTGGAGCCCCACCGGCATCAGCCCTGTTCATGTGTTCTATGCCATCTTATTCTTTGGCAAGAACGTGATCAAAATTCCTGCCTGTTTTAAAATTGGGTTGCTCTCCTTCTTGTTTGATCTGTCCAGAAGATTAACGTATTCTGGATACAGAGGTCCGCGGGTGAAGAAAAAAATGTTTAAGTATTTCTCCTTCTTGGATGTCTGCACTTTGATAATCCTATACAGTTCTGCAAACAAAAATCTGCCTGGTTTGTAAATGGAGAAAGTTCTCAGTTGGAAAGTTCATCGCGCTTCATTTTGACAGTTCTATATATGTGGTTTATGTCTGCTTTTTCGTGGCTCGGAATGCAGGGAGATCAGTAGAAGAGACCAGGGTATGGCCAGGCAAAAAGCAAAATTCTATGCCCTTGTCGTCACCATTACCAAAGAGATGAGTAAAGAACATAACGCAGCAATAAAACAACTGCGCGAGGAATTAGAAGATGCTTTAGGAAGAGCTCTCTAGTTTGAGCACTGGAAGGTTCTTGTTCATTATAAGTTAAAACCCCAAATAAAGTCCTTCCCAGCGACCATAGGGTTTAAAAACACTGAAAGTCCAGCACCGATTTTCTCATATACATAAAAACCAGCATTAATCCAACTGTAAATAGTATGTATATATCCTAAATCTTGATGGCAAAATTACTTAACTGTCCAGACTAACGGGGCTAGGTGAGCATCGCGCATGAGCGTAGAGGCAGAAGGGAAAGAAGTTCTTTATTTTCTCTCCCCATAAGCCCAGGAGTACACGAAAGAGGTACAGAACAAGTATCTTTGCACACTGTGGCCGATACTACAACTTTGCCCGGATGCGGTAAAAATGGCTGATTTTTTCTTCTCCAATCAAACATAACTATGTCAACTGGCGTCAACAGCCAGAGCGTTTTAATATATTCTTTCTCGGGATCCTGCCAGCTGTATTTCTTTGAAGCGTCTTTTTCAATGTTCCAGACAACTATAGACACAAGAAGGAAGCCCAGGGTGCTAAGCCTAGCGATGCATGACAGCTTCTTTCTGCTGGGCAGAACAGGGGGGAAGACTGTAATCAAGCGTGACAGAAGCTTTGTGAAAGTTATAGAAAAAATTCAATTTCTCGTTGTTAATTTTTCATCTATTGCAGCTCATCTACAAAGAGAAGAATGGCAATAATAATGACAATGTAACAATTCTGAGGTCTGGCTCTCTAAGAGTTACATATTTAAATGCTACCATCAAAATTACTGTTTATCATATTAGCAGTCTTAAACCGTCACTGAGTCTCTTACGGGTAACGTAGAAACCTTAGAAGAGGGAGAACGATTAAAAAAGATGGGCCATTAGCTGGCATGTTTTTAAATTTTAATAATAAATAAAAAAAGATGCCAAAATCAACGTTTGCTGTGTATATCAAAGCCAGGAGTTTGGTAGAGGTGCCCTTTTTGCAGGTCTGAAAATGTTTTTTTTGATACAGTCGTCAGCTTGTTGCCAGGGCTCATTAGGTGGAGTGCGGCTGGCGTCGCGACCCTAGGCTTACTACGCAATCCTACCTTGCCTCAGCCTCCCGAGTAGCTGCGTCACAGGCATGCGCCACATGGCGCCGCTAATGTTTTGGTATCTAAGTATATTTTAGTTGATCAATTAATATCTTCTATTTTAGTAGAGACGGTCTTGGCTCAGGCTGTTTGAAATCACTGACCTCAGCAATCCACCCGCCTCGGGCTCCCAGAGTTGCTGTAGGATTCATAGGTGTGGGCCACGCACGCACGGCCAGCTTGAAATGTTTTAGTTTTAGAGGAGTCACCTTTGGGCAGTTAAAAATAAAAAGCCCACTTAGTATCATTAATGTAGGATAGTTTTGTCCTTTACAATCGCACGTCAGCTCTCTAACATTGTCTCGTCTATAAAACGTGTTGTAGAGTTGTTAACAATATTTTAAAAGGTCTCTAAGATTTTGACGATGAGCATAGAAAGGATAAGAAGCCTAAATTTTATCGTTCGAGGTCTTTTTTTTGCACACAGTCTCGGTTTGTTGGCGGCTACGAGTTACGTGCCGTGGCCGTTCAGCAGCTCACAGGAACCAAACTCCTGGGGCTCGGCGATCTTCTGCCCCTTCAGGCGCCTCCCGATAGCCTGGGATTACAGGCATGCACCACCGATGCCCCAGCTACATTTTTTCCTAGTATGATATTAGTTGGACAATTAATGTTCTTCTCTATTATAGTAGAGTACTGGGCGCTCGCTCTTGCGCTCAGGCTGTTTCAGACTTCCTGACCCTTGAGCATCTGGCCCGCCTCAGCCTCTCAGAGTGCTAGGATTACAGGGTGAGCCAGCCGCGCCGACCCCCTTTCTTTTTTGAGAGTTTCCTCCTGGCTAGTCGTCAAATGCTCAATCAGTAGGTCACTGCAACTCAAAGCCTGCGGCTCAAGCAGCTTCTTCCTCCAGCCTCCAGAGCTTGGTGACTATAGGTGCTCACCAGGCCCAGCAAATTTTCTTTCTTTTTTTTTGCAGAGGACAACGTTCACTCTTACTCAGGCTTGGCTCTCCATCTCCTTAGCTCCAAGCGATCCTCTGCTCCTCTGCCCGCCTCCCATAGGTGCTGAATACAGCGTTAGCGCCCTCACCTGGTTGTCTTTCAGGGTCTCGTATTAGCTGCTTTTAGGTCAGCTACAGTCAGTAACTAAAGGTCATAAAAGAAATTATGTTGTTATGAAATCAAAGGCGTGAAAAAAGAAAAACATTTAAGCTTGGATCATCCCTATCCCAGAAGAAAGACTGAGAAAACAGTTTATAAAGCAAGATCATATTAAATCAAATTACATTCATAAGCCAACACTTATAATAGAAGATACATAATATATGAATATAAAAAATAATCTTACCATTATTCAACACCTATCATTTCCCAGGCACTGTTTGTGTAGATGCTTTACATCATGCTATTTCCAATTCTAAAAACATTCATAGGCTAGATAGCTAAAGTGTGTTGTTAGTTTGTGGTGTTTTTAAAACAGAAGAAGAAATGAGCTTAGTTAAAGTGGAGGATCACTTATGCCAAAGGCCATACGAGGCTATAGGCGAGCAGAACTGGGTTTGGAACCCACACCAACAGCACCTTGACTGTATAGAACAAGTAGCTGCAAGTGAAGGCTTGTTTGTGACAAATTCTATTTTGTAAGATCCCAGAGGCTGGGCATCGCCTACTAGTCTGATATGGCAATATGTATCTTCATGATATTATAAATAACAGAGAAAATCCACTTGGTTGTTTCTATCATGAGTTTGGAAAACAAAGTGTTATCACAGATAACATATTATAGCTATTCTTCTCCTCAGTTCCAAAGATTCAGAATCTGGTTACTCAGAACAGAAGCCAG